TCCAGGACAGCTGGAGCTACAGGGAGACCCTGTCTCAAAAAGACAAAAAAAAAAAAAACCCAAAACTGGAGGGAGACAGAGTCTTGCGATATAGTCCCTGCTGGTCTATAACTAACTTACTATGTAGACCAGGCTGGCCTACAACTGACTCACTATGTAGACCAGGCTGGCCTAGGACTGACTCACTATGATAGACCAGGCTGGCCTACGACTAACTCACTATGTAGAACTGGTTGGCCTACGACTAACTCACTATGTAGACCAGGCTGGCCTACGACTAACTTACTATGCAGTCCAGGCAGGCCTAGGACTAACTCACTATGGTAGACCAGGCTGTCCTATGACTACCTCACTATGTAGACAAGGCTGGCCTACGACTAACTCACTGTGGTAGACCAGGCTGGCCTAGAACTCACAGAGATCTGCCTGCCTCTGCATCGCAAGTGCTGAGACGAAAGGCGTGTACCACCACACCCGGTGGCCTCGAACTTTTGGTGATTTTCCCGCTTCCACCTCCTGAACATTGGGACTAGAGGTATGTGTCACCACACCCAGGCAAAACAAAATTCCATATGACTTATCATCACTAAATGTTTGATTTGAATCCTATTTTATATGCCAATATACCCAAGGAAGGATCGCAAACAATATTCTTGGGCAAACGGATTGAAGAGTGGACAAAGCTTAGGAAGCCCTACTGTGCATGCATCCAGAGGGCATGTGACGTCCATCGTGGAGATAGCCGACCTGAAGGTGGAAGCTGTCTTTGAGGGGAGTAAAAGGAAAGCAGGGATTGGCCAGGTGAGAGGAAAAGACCAAGGATGACAGGAGACGCCTGCTGGTCCTAGAAGCAGGTCTGCAGGCTGGAGCTGAGTAAGCATGGGAGAGGATGGGAGAGGGGCACGGGTGGAAGGCAGAGGGGCTGTCTGGGATCTCCTGAGCCAGGCCAAGGAGTCTCTACACCACTCTAGGGGGCTGGAAGCTCTGTTTCTGTCTCCAGAGTGTACAGGTCTGATATAAGGGTCCTGTGTTCTTTTTCTTTTTTAAATTTTATTGTCATTATTTTTATTTTTTATTTTTGGTCTTTTTGAGACATCGTCAACCTGTAGCTCCAGCTGTCCTGGAACTCACTATGTAGACTAGGCTGGCCTTGAACTCACAGAGCTCCGCCTGCTTCTGCCTCCCAAGTGCTGGGACTAAAGGCGTGCACCACCATACCCTGCCTTAATTTTATTAGTTTTGATTTTATGTGTATGAGTGTATTGCCTGCATGCAAGTAAGTGCGCCCAAGTCATGTAATGCCCAAGGAGGTCAGACGAGTGTGTTGAATCCCCTGGAACTGGAATTATGGACGATTGTTAGCTGCTATGTGGGTGCTGGGTAACTGAACCTGGGTCCTCTACAAGAGCAGCCAGTGCTCTTAACCACTGAGCCATCTCTCCAGCCCCAAGGGTCCTGTCTTCTGCGACTACAGATCACTGTCTTTGACCCAGACAGCACGTCTCACAAAGTAGGCCTCAAATAGTATTTTTTGAGCTGATTTATTTATTTATTCTTCAATTTGTTTTAGTTTGGACCAATTTTTAAGTAATTTATTTATGTGGTGCTGGGGAATCAAACCCAGGGCTTCATGTACACAAGGTCAGCATTCTGACAACTGCACTATATCCCCAGTATGGTCTGTTGTTGCTATGTCTGTTTCTGCATAGATCAAACAGCAGAACTGCTAACTCGATTTTAACTATGTGGACACTGTCACCATCAGATTCAATTCATTTGAAAGGTTCATTCTTCCCTCTGAGAAATAGATTGGCTGTAGAATAAGTGTAAGTTTTTTCATGCCAAGAGAGTTTGTTAGGGTTAGGGTGTGGTGGCACAGACTGTGTTCCCAGCACTTGTGGGGTAGAGGCAGGAGAATTAAGAGTTCAAGGCATGTCTTGACCACATAGCAAGTGCAGGCCAGCCTAGAATACAGGAGACCTTGTTTCAAAAATACAATAGGGGCTGGAGAGATGGCTCAGTGGTTAAGAACACTGATAGTTCTTGCAGAAGTCCCAGGTTCAAATCCCAGCACCCAGATGGCAGCTAACAACTGTCCCTAACTCCAGTTCCAGGGGATTGAACAGCCTCTTCTGTCCTCCGCGGGTACTGCATGACACGAGTGCACTTACTTACCTACATGCACGCAATACATGCATACACATAAAATAAAAATAATAAATATTAAAAAACAATAACAATACCCCATAAAAGTTTGTGCATTGTTAATCCATTATAAAATCCATTAGATACATCTACCTACACATACATATTGACATGGGGTCTCACTATATGAAGCATCCCAGGCTGACCTGGATCTCTCACAGAAATCCACTATATGAAGCATCCCAGGCTGACCTGGATCTCTCACAGAAATCCACCTCCCTCTGCCTCCTGAGTCCTGGGATTAAAGGTGTGTACCACCATGCCTGGCTAGTGTATTTGGAGATGAGTAATGGTGGACTGTGCTGAGTACTGAACCGGGGCCTCAAGTGTGCTGGACAAGTGCTTTTTCACCGAGCGGTACCCTCAGCCTCGTAGCAATATGTACTTTGATCTGGTAAGATGGGTAAGCATCATTTGTGCTGCTTGGTGGCTCGAAAATTCATGTCCTTCCCACAATACACGAATGTGACCTGATTTGGTATGTGTATGCAATTCACTGAAATGAAGTCTACTGGATTGGGGAGGTCCTTTGATCCACATACCTGGCAATCCTGTGAGAAAAGCAGCAGGCACAGGGAGAAGAGAAGGGCTGGAAAGACAGATGCCCAGAAGGCCGTGTGATCACAGAGACAGAAACCGGAGGAGTGGAAAACCTTCCTTCTCAGAATCTTCTAGAAGGGATCAGCTTTGTGGACACTGTAATTGTGAACTCTGGCCTCCAGAACGATGTTGTTGTTTTTTGTTTTTTTGAGACAGGGTCTCCCTGTAGTTCCACTATGTAGACCAGGCTGGCCTTGATCTCACAAAGATCTGCCTGCTTCTGCCTCCCATGTGCTGGGATTAAAGGTGTGCACCACCACACCTGGCCTGCCTCCTGCTGGGAGACAATATATATTTGCTGTTACTTCACTGTGGCAACCTCATGCAACCTAACACCTGCAGGGGCCCTTGCAGGCAGGATGTTTCCTAGGTTGCCTCTTCTGGATAGACAGCTGTCTGTTGGGACTTTGGCAATTCATCCAAATCTCACGGATGCATTTAAACTATGGTTTTGTACACTGTAGATGTAAATATTTACTTTTCCAGTTGTATGTTTTTCTGTTTATTTTCTAGTTACCTGTTAGTCCTTTTTATTTTTATAAAAAATATTACTGCCACGCTTAGAGACTCCTAGGGGGCAAGAGTCACATCTATGTAAAATGTGCTGGAAAGCATCTAGTCATGCTTCATATTCCCATACACAAATGACTTTGTAGCCTTGGCCGACCTGTTACTTGATATGGCCCAAGGTGGTGCCTGATGCATAGTGACCCTCCTGCCTCAGCCTGCTGGGATTATAGGAGTGTGATGCTACTTGTAGCTCAAGATGACTTTCAAAGATGATCATTCTGTTTATTTCCTTCTGTTTCTTCCTTTAAGTTTTCTAGTACATAGGCATATGGTATACATTACCGAAATATCTTATGTAAAGCTTTCTCTCTCTCTCTTATATATATATAAAATATTTTTTTCAGTGATGGGAATGAGCCCAGGGCTTTGGTACATGCTTTGTAAGTGCTCTACCATTGAGCTAAACCCCGAGCAATTACAACTTTAGGGGTAAAAATACCAATATGGGGGGCTGGAGAGATGGCTCAGAGGTTAAGAGCACTGACTGCTCTTGCAGAGGACCTAGGTTTGATTCCCAGAACCCGCATGGTAGCTATGAACCATCCTTAACTCTTGGTTCCAAGGGAAACTGACGTCCTCTTCTGACCTCCTAGGCATTGCATGACATGGGTACACTCACATACATGCAGGCAATACACTCATACATATAAAAATAAAAAATATTAAAAAATACTAATATGTAATAAACAAATATTAGTCTTTTCTTTCAAATCCTGTAAAACTTGCTCTATGACAAGAAATACCAGGCTTTTATTTTTTAATTTAATTTTATTTTTTGGTCTTTTTGAGACAGAGTTTCCCTGTAGCCCCAGCTGTCCTGGAACTTACCATGTAGACAAGGCAGGACTTGAACTCTCAGAGATGTGTCTGTCTCTGCCTCCCAAGTGCTGGGATTAAAGGCGTGCACCACCAGGCCCAGCCAAAATTCTAGGCTTTTAATCCCACTATACCCTGTAAAACTTTTGTTTAAGGAAAGGCCCTGGTGGATTCCCTGACCTGATGACCTGGGAAGTGGAGCTCTTTTCCTTTTTTTTTTTTTTGAAACAGGGTCTCCCTGTAGCCCCAGCTGGCCTGGAACTCACTATGTAGACCAGGCTGGCCTTGAACTCACACAGGTCCGGCTGTCTCTGCCTACTGAGTGCTAAGACTAAAGTTGAGTGCCACCATGCCCAGCTTGCAATAATTATTTTAAAATAGCCAACTGGGAAAGATGGTGAGGTCCAACTCTAGCCAATGGGGAAAAGACACAGTACTCTAGCATCAGGGATAAAAACCTATCAAACTTCATGGTCATGTGTGCTTGCTGAATTGAACAGACCAACACACCCTTTTGCAAAATAAAATCTGCATGGTCAAGTGATTTTCGCTTTGTCTGTGTTCTTTGTGTGGTATTGATGGGGCCCTTGCACCTCAAATTTTATGTCTTACAAACACAAGAATAAGAAATTTTGGCTGGAGAGATGGCTCAGTGGTTAAGAGAGGGCCCAAGTTTGGTTCCTAGCACCTACATGGTGGCTAACAACCATCCCTAACTTCAGTTTCAGGGGACCCAACATCCTCTTCTGGCCTTCATGGACATTGCATGACATGGGTGTACTTATATACATGCAGGCAAAACACTCATATACATAAAAAATTTTTTTAATCTACTATTTAAGTTTTCAGTAGACCTTCCACAGTTGCAAAAGTTTGATTCCAAAAAAAACGACACAAAAAGAAACAAAAAAACCCACAATCAACAAAAATACCAGGCTGGAGATGTAGCTCAGTGGTACAAGTTCAAGAAACTTAAGACCTAGCTTTCAGGGGAAAACAGGTGGACACCATTCATAGCGAACCTGGAGAGAACCAGATGGATCTTTCCACAGTCACTAAACAAAACAATAAGGACTGAGCTCTAAAGAAAGACAAGCATTCAGTGACATTTCATAGACCTTCAGTTGGTAAGAATGGCTCTCTCCTATGAATTTTTATTGACTCACTTGTCTTCAAGGCTCTTGGAGAATCATCATGCTTGCTTGAAGTTTACTGAGATGTTGATTCTTCTCCATTGCCAGTAATATACCTTCCCTGGTCCTCCAAGGTACAATATATATATATATATATTTATGATTGAAAGGCTAGCTGTGTCCTGAAAGTGCAATATCATAGAAAAACATTGTATAGAGAGGAAAAGACCCTTGTCATGTAGTCTTTCATCCACCATATTTTAAAAATGCATTTTTAAGGCTGGGTGTGGTGGTGCACGCCTTTAATCCCAGCATTCAGGAGGCAGAGGCAGAGGCAGGCGGATTTCTGTGAGTTCAAGGCCAGCCTGGTCTACACAGTGAGTTCCAGGACAGCTGGGGCTACAGGGAGACACTGTCTCAAAAAGACAGAAAAAAAAAAAAATCAAACCAAGTAGGTAGGTCATAACTTTAGTTACATTGAACTCAAAATTCCATTTATCAAATACACTATAAACTGACCAAATAGAATAAGAAAGTATTTTTAAGGCTCAGAAAAAGCAAAGCAGTAAAATCTATAATAAATACAAGTCTGACAGATGAAAGAAAAAATGACAAACCTCAAATAAAAGCTGACAAATTACATAAGTAGGTACATTACAAAAAGAAAGCCCAATGCCAGTTGTGGTGGCGCACACCTTTAGTCCCAGCACTTGGGAGGCAAAGGCAGGCAGATCTTTGTGAGTTCAAGGCCAGCCTAGTCTACATAGTGAGTTCCCAGGACAGCTGGGGCTACAGGGAGACCCTGTCTCAAAAAGACAA